AAAAAAATGTTGATTCAACTCCTAAAGATACACTAAGCAAGCAGTGTGCAATGGGAAATCTGTTTGAGGGAGTCTGTTTGCTTTAAAATATGTCTGTCTGAATTTACCTCGGTGAGGGTTTTTAAGTTCTCTTTTTGAATAAAGTAATAATAGACCCTTTCTCTACCTGGGGAGCTTCTGCTCTTCCCAAGTCTTGCTCAGGTATCACCTGTGAAGCCCTCCCTTGGATATCTTGGAAAAAATCTTTTATTATAACATTCAGTGCATTACTTTACAATTAAATAACAATGCATACTTATGTTTGTATCTCAATTTTGTGAGAAATATATATGGAATTTTTTTTCTTACTCATTTTTTATTCCCACAGCCTGTATCCAATGCAGTATATGTATGCACTAGTATACATTAGCATTTTCATTACTTAATGAGTGCTAATAATGAGATAATAGGGAGAGTGCTGTCTTTTAAAATAGAATTTGAAACTATTGTTCAGTAAGACCTTAGGTCCTGTTTTGTCTGTGAGTAGCAGCAGATAGACTAGCTGTTAAAAACAATGCTAAAAGCTGATGGGACAGGCAAAGCATTAAAAATGTCATTATGTAGCTTTCTTTTTCTTTAAAAAAGAATTAACATACTTTGAGGATTGGGAACTAGAAGCTATTAGCAGTAATAGGCAAAACAATTAGGTAATGCATAGATGGCTACCACTCATTCAGCACTTACTATATGCTGGGCACTGATCTAAATGCTGCACCTGTATTCACTCCTTTAATCCTGCCAGGAATCCTGTGATGAGGCACCATCATTTGATCCCCCTTTACAGGGGAGGAACCTCAGAGGTTAAATGACTTGTCCATGGTATATAACTTAAAAAAAACACCTACCATAATGAAAGGACAACAGCATATTAAAATAGATTTCTGGAGCTCATCTTAAACTTTTTTTTTCATGAAATTCACATGTAATGTATGTGAAACTTTTGCATAGAGTTTTCGGCAATATTTTTAATAGGTTATTTATTAAGTTTTTGTACAAAAATGTATTTTTCCAGGATTGATGAAGATATTGACCTGACAGGTAACAAATGTTAAAAAAAAAAAAAGATTTCCTATTTGAATATCTTCTCTGAAAAAAATTAGGTTTACTCCTTGTAATATTTTCTTTGTTAGCAGGCTGTTTTGCTAGAAAATGGAAATGTAATTTGTTGATATATACACGTACATAAAAAAATGTTGATTCAAATATTTATACCTGAGAGGAGAGCAAATCCCTAACGTTCTTTAGAAACATTCGCTTAAATTGCTAATTAGTATAGGTTCATAAATGTGCATTGCTTTTTAATCAGCTCATGTATGTATGTGGGTAATAATGCAATTGTACCTTACTAATAAAATTAACATATGAAGGTCACAGTTCATACAATACTAGTCTGTAATTGGAATAATTTGATTTATGATATAGTCAAAATGGTGTGTGTATATAAAGATTTTTAAAGTAGAACCACAATCATAATGTAAATGACTAATGGGAAGAACTGAAGAAGTAATCATAAATTGATTTCTTGTTTTTTATTCTCAGAGTTAATTATATGTCTGCCAATAACAATGAAAATATATTTACTTGAATATTTGACTTGGCATTTATTGACCAATTTATCAAGGAGAAGCAGCAAAAAGAGAAGCTAGAAAATAATTTGAATAGGCCAGTGCTTGAGCTATATGTACAGTGACACTTCGGAAAATATTTTGAACATTTATTTTTGAATTTGCTTGTGGTCAAAAAATGTATTTAGGAAGCACAGTGTTCATTTTTCTTCTGTTCTGTAAAACCTAGGTAGCATGTAATTAGAACTTGAATGATAGCATTTGCCTTTCAAGGTTCGATGAGTCCTTTAAAATATATGGTTGCAAAAGTCTCAGATTATACAATATGAGTACTTTGTGAATTGGACAGCTACAGTATGCCTGGTTAGGTTTGGTAATATGAAAACAGAAAGACAAGAACGGGCCCTCGATTTGCATTAATGCTTACCAATATACCAGAGCTTGTGATAGGCAAGGGAAGGTTTTATTGATGACAGAGCAAATCGAAGTTAAGGACTCACAGAATATTTGTAGTTTCTTTTAAGTGTCTAAAAAAGTTTTTTCTATTTTGAAAATAGTATATAGTTAAAATTTGGGCATTTAAACTTTATAAGCATACCATATGAAACCTAACATAGTATCATACTCTCTTAAGGGGAAGTAAATGCAGAAAAGTTGGAGGCGATTTTGTTTTTCCTTCTCCCAATTTTAACTTATTGCATAAACGTCATAACAATAATCAAATTTCATGAACCTTTAAAGTAAAATTGTATTTAAATAAACAAGTAACTTAAGGTGACTTCTTTACTTCAAAATGTACACATTCTTGTTTTTAATTGGTAAACATTAGGAACCCCTCCAGAACAGTAAGCAATGTCATACCCATTGGTACTCTACGAGGGAAAGAACAAAATCACAAATTAGTGTCACTTATAATATTGAAGTGGAGTTTTGTTTCTCTTTTTTTTTTTAAGATTTTTATTGGGGAAATGGGGGGATGGGAACAGTGCTGGGGAATTGGGGAAGGGGAACAGACAAGTTTCTTGTCGTTTTGTTCTTCAGTCTAGTTGTGGAGGACGTCGCTTCACTGGCCCAAGTTGGCACCATCGTTGAGCTCTTCCCGGGCGAGGCAGATCAGTCTCTGGCTTCTGGACGGGCGCTCACTGCGGCTGCTGGCTACACACGGTAGCCCATGGCAACCCACTGCCACAGAGGCTGCAGCCTACTCCGTCGCCGGCGACTCACGGCAGCCCAGCTCCAGATCGAGCTGTTGTTCAGCATCTTAGCTGTAGAGGGCAGTGTCACTGGCCCTCATATGTGGGATCCGAACCGGGGCTCGCTGGCATCCCAAGCCACTTCTTAACCATCGTGCCACTCGGCCGGCCCAGAGTGGGGTTTTCTAATTGAGGTTTTTTAATCCGTTTTTAATTTTAATCAAAGAAAAATTCACTCCTGCTTAAATTTAATTTTGTTGATTAAAAGTTGCTTAAAAACATATAAAAGGAGGGTATTATTTCTCCCTTTTAATTAACATTTGCTTAAATAGAAATACCTGTGAGTTATTTAATCTTAATTTTGGAAAATAAACTGGGAATTCTGCTTATCACAATTTAAAACATGCCTACAGTTCCATTAATTGTAACCAAGACACACTGTGGGGGTAGTTATACTTAGTTGCTTGCAGTATCTATGACTTTTCTACTTGAAATTCCTTTAAGCAAAATCTCTCCTGTCTTGAACATATACAGCTGATTTTTAAAGTCTTAATATAGAACTTTAGACATATTGCCCCTTCTACGTTCACCGTGGTCATATGTACAATTCCACAGCCAGTGGATATGTTTCTTTTTTATCTTTATTAAATTAATTGGGGTGACATGGGTAAGTAAAGTTACATAGGTTCCAAGTGTCTGTTTCTGTAATATATCATTTGTATGTTGCATTGTGTATTCACCACCCAGAGTCAATTCTTCTTCCATCAGAAGACAGTGATGACAGGGGATATATTTCTGAGTCTGAAGGCCATTCTATGGAGAATGATTTTTCTTTCAAACCCCAGATACCTTATGGGTGGATGTCCACTTCACCCTCCGATGTTACTTCCGGGACATTCTTTCTCCACCCGCTTGTGGTAGCTCAGACTTTGTTCCAGATAGACTCTAGCATCTTTTTCCCTCTCCTCTTTTTTGTTATCCTGTTAACTCACAGCAT